TTCCATGGCACTGTACTGACCCTACTGCAAATCGCTGGCTTCACAGACTTATTCCTGGTGTCAGCCCCGGTGTGAGCCAGCAGGCACTAGATGACTTGCAGAGTTAGCGAGTAGGAGCTGAAGAGCAGAGAGACCTGGAATGTGGAAAAGAAAAACAGGACTCCCAATGCATGGTTGAGTGGTTGCAGGCTTCTTACACAAATCACACTCCTGTTTTTACTCTCCGGGTTTGTCTCTCTTCTTTCCCCCCCTTACCCTTTTGCATTCCAGTCTGATTGCTTTCTTTATATTCATGTGCCTGGATACCAGTGGCAAATGCACATAGAAACTGTTACTTGCTTTTTGTCCTGGTGCCTGGGGGCCAGTGGTCCAGGAAGAGCAAATGCAAAGAAAGTTGTACTTAGCGTGGGGATGGTGTGCATCCGGATGGTGTCAGGTTGGTCACTTTTGTGGCCAGTGCATATGAGCTATGTGAAAATAGTGAATGTTCATTGCAGATGAAATGTTCAAGAAATTTAGCTGGCAAGCTAATATATTAATATACTGAGGAGTTATTTTCCTTTTTTTTTTTTTTTTCAGTTGGCCTCCTTTAGGCATTTTTGTGTTGTTTTTTAAAAACAAACAAACAAACGGCACCCACACACACACAAAAAACCCACATCACTAGTGCTTTTGCAAAATATCAGGTCTTCGCTCCAAATCCTAGAGTTAGCAGACCTCCTAAATGCCATGGTTATGAAACAAAGTTAGCTGAAGTAAAATCAAATTTATACCAGACTTATTCTCAGAAACAATTGCACTTTATAAAAAAAAGAATGGTTTGAGTCAGCCCAATGGTTGAAATTTGGTAAAATTACCAGCAGTTGAAAATTGACAGTAATAAGTATTGTTAACAATGTCCTTGAAGGATAAATTTCTACAGAAATAGAACTCTTTGTATTGTGTCTTTTGTCTGGAAAGTTATCCTCTGTATAGCTACTTTCCTTTTTTTTTTAAAAAAAAAAGATTTGCAAAGTAGGATTTCAGTTCCTATGCATCTAGTGAATGATACACAGAGAAGAGAAAGTCTAGATTATTGCTGCACTTTCAATGTAGATATTGGGGAAGTGCTTTAGGCGAGAGAGGAGACAAGAAAATTAGTAACTAAACAACGGCAGTTTTCACAAAATACTTGTATCTTTGGTTTTGTACATGTTTAACTGTTCCAGGTTAACGTGCCACTTTAATCAGCTAGAATACCACAAATCTACCATTAAATGTCACTGATACAGTGTTACGGTCTCCGAGTTCATGTACCTTATTCTGTCTGTGAGGAGAGGTGCCATGCTTCAAGAGCCGTGTATAATCTCTCCAGACCACATTGACTAAGGCTCCTGCTACAGTTTCCTGAAAGCACAGCTGGTTTTCTTACCCTCCCTGGTCACCTGCTCCTCTGCCATAGCCCACCAGCCTCAGGATTGCGTCTGTGTAAGCATCGGTGGGCCTGTTCTCGCAGCCCAAGCAGGATCAGCCATCATCAAGGACTCATACAGCATAAAATGTTGAGTTGCTGCAGTGAAGGGGGAAGGGGATGCTAGGACCAGAAATGAACAGGGAGGGTCGGGGAGCACTGGATGCTCTTAACCTGCCTTTGCTGCTGGAGAAACTGCAAATGGATCCATGCCCTAAAAAGGACAATTAAAGCTGACTGGGGTGAATTGTCTTCTGCATGTGTTCATTTTACAAGCTGAGGCTTCATGTTTTAAAGCTGTTAGCTAGATGAAATGAATTTTGTGAAAACTTAATACATAATGTAATAAAGACTTGTAAATTGAATTGGTTCCTTGGTACTAATTTAACTTCTATTAAAATTATTTGAAAGAGCTATGTTCCAGGCAGAGAAAGCTACATCAGAGGTTTTATCTCCATTACAGTTAAGCTAGTGTGGTAATTTTTCTTTCCCCAAAAAGTGATGTGATGGGATTGGATTGTTTATAACTGACTACATGTAGAACATGCAGATTTTCAACGGAGCAATGCTTAAATAATGTCTTAACTTTTTTTTAACTACATTTTTTAAAGCTGTATCAGGGCTTTCTAATTTCATGAATAATAATAATAAAAAACCCCACTTGTTTGGTTTGATTCTCTCAGGCAGGGTTTCAAAGATCAGTTCTGCGTACTCAGACATCTGTTGTTTTCATCTGTACTGATAGTGTTGATGTCCATTTAAGATCTTAATTAAAAAAATTCTTAGGCCTGTTACTTTTTTTTACGTCAGCTGGAGCTAAAGTATACAACACAGGTGCTTTGAATTATTGAAGTTGTAATTCAGAATGTTCTTCACTATGCAGAATATTAGGTCTAGATGGTATAGTAGAGATTTTTAGAGTTATGTGGAAATCCTTTTTGTAAACCTGATATTCTACCTAATTTTTGTGGACTTTTATTTGAGTACTGCATTGTTCGATGCAACAAACCTTCTACCTAAAAGGGCTGCGTTGGGCAAGTTGTTCAGGCAGGAAGCAGGGGTGTTAAAAATGAGGGTGACGAAAGGTTAGGTGTTTGGTATCTGAATTTATGGTTGAAAGAACTTTCCTGTTTTCAGTACTAGGAAGGAAATGCATCTTTTTTCTTAGTCTGAACTTTGAGGATACAGCTTCACACTCTTCCTTTCCTCCTTTCCTTTTGCTTTTGGCAAAGGCCGAATGTTCTCACATTTGTATCATACTGCACAGCCATTACGTCTAAATACGTCTTTTAAAGTAAGCACCTCACATTACGTTTTCCGGAAGCAGGAAAGCCCTATCTCCCTTAGACCTTTGAGTCCATATCCACATCCTAAATTCGATGTGAGGCAAATAGGCATCAAGTGAAGGAAGAATATAGCTGTGAGGACATAAAACACTACCTTTGATGCATTTCAAAGCGTTTCCATTAGAAAAAAGATGATCTCTAGACGTAACACTCTTTATTAGGTATTAATATTATTATGAAAATAGCTTTATGGGATATTTAAGTAGCATTGAGAAACATGATCTGAAAAAAGGCTTCCTGCATGAGTCAACATCCAGAATCACTGCCAGAGCTAAGATGAACATTCAGATGTTTCTGGCTTTAGGCTAACAGAGCACATTGCTTCCTAAAAGGAATTAATTTAGTTTGCTTTCTTTTTATCTTTACAAATAGATACTTCTGCCAAAAATATTCCCCATTGTTCAAGTTTAGTATAAACAAGACATCAGCTGATTACACATATCTTAAATGCTATGTTGTTTAAGCTTTGACAGCCTGTATCTTCATAAGGTGCCTGATACGCTTACAGCTGTTGGCGTCGCGTTCATTTTCTTGTAGCTGCTCCGTCAATGTTGGATGGATAGGGTAAAGAATTTATGAAAACAAGCTAACCAAAATGAAAGTCTGCCCAATGAAATAAGATACTTGCTTCCTGATTTATTTGCAGTTTTCAGTATTAAGTTTTATAGCTCTCTGGGAATTCAGAAAACAGGTTTGTGGAATTCACTAGGCTTTTAAGTCCATTGATTCTCATTAAATACTAATACTTCGTGTGAGGATAAATAAATACATACGCGAGCAACTTGCCTACATGTAACAAATAGAAACGTTAGCAGGTTGAAGGCTAAATATCTCAAGGACCATGTTTAATAAAATCTGGGCCAACTGTGAGCTCCCATAATTAATTTTTCCATTAGAACTTCAGAAAACTTAAACTTTGAAAGATTTGCTCGCACTGTAGGGAAGAGAGAGCTAATTTAAAACTTCTCTTTTGCCTCATCTTTTTTTCATTCCTTCCCATGGTTTTGAAGGAGTCCATTAATATTAGCAATATATGAATGAACGAAAGAAGAAATGTGACTCATGAAGAAATACAGTAAAAGAAGGAAGTTCAACTTAAAGAAGGGCACCTGACTATGCATTGTTTATATTGTTACAAGGGAAAGTTACTCTGATGACAGTAATTTTGAGATTTAAACAGATTCTGTTAAACAGTTCATCTCCTAATAGCTAAGTGCTCTGTTGAGAGAAGCTGGCTTGAAAATGCAGAGGTGTGAAATATTTTTTACTCGTGTGAACCTCAAATGAAATTATTATTTGAGTTTTGTTAGTGTTTTGTAATTCAGACATGCAACATTGTCCTTCAGCAAAAGAAGATAAAATAATTAGGTTTTTTTAATCAGAAAAAGCCTCAGAGTACTTTTTTTTTAAATGAAGTAATAATTGGTAGAAGTAAATTCTTGAATTTGTTTGGCGCTAGTGTACATGATGGGTAATTATTTGATTAAATTATTGTGCCTATGCCCCACCCTACCCTCTTTGGCAGTATCTTTAGCATTTTCTCAATCGTCTCCTGCTTCTTAGCACAGAAGCAGCTGGTGTGATCATCATTATTCTTTTTTTTAATTTCTTTCGACAAGTATGAATCGTTACGGCATAAAAAGGCAGATTAGAGAGAGATTCATGGAAGCATTTAATATCCCCCATTGCTGAATCATTACTTATGTGGCAGCTCAACCAGAGTCTTTTCTGTGGATAGCAAAGGTCATGTAATAGAGTGCCTTTTAGAAGACTAGTGGCCAGCATGTTCTCTTCCCCCAGACAGAAATGACATATGCTATTAGGCATCTGTCCTTAAACACCAGAATTGGCAGAATTTTAATAATACAGTGTGTACTTGTCATAAAGGCGAAGTTGGTAGAGCTGTAAGTTCATTAGTCCAGAAAGAAATCTGTTGACAGGCAAGTGTTGGTGGATGGTGAGGCTGGCCTAGTAATGGGAGAGAGATGAAATCATCCTAAGAGTCCGCACCTGTTGCGTGCTCTAAAACGGAAGATTTTCTGTTAATATATAAGCATTCCGTGTCAGTTTGAGCAATATGTCTTATTATATTTTTGTCCATTTTCAGCAGAATATTACATGTTCTGAACCTTTCTTTTTTTCTCTGATTTTTATTTCTTTTTTTTTTTTTTTTTTTTCCTTCCTTCCTTAAAATGTAGGAATATTCTGAAGACAGCAATTCTGAACCAAATGTGGATCTGGAGAATCAATACTACAATTCCAAAGCTTTGAAGGAAGATGATCCCAAAGCAGCATTAAGCAGTTTTCAGAAGGTTTTCTGTCTTTATATTCTCTCTCTTATTTTTATACTAATTCACATTTAAAAATATTTGCTTACCATTTGAGTTATTTTCTGGAACTTTAAAGAGTACTGTTTATATTTAAACTTACTAATGTGCTAAGTTTATCATTGGACAACTTAGACTCCTGGCTGACTGCCTTTCAGGATGATTCTTAGGGAGCATAAATAGGACGTGGAATAGTCCTGTTTTATCGCAGAACTGAGGTTTTAATCATCAGGATTTACTAAGTTAATTAAAGAGTCCTAAGTGTGTTTTCATGTGTCAACTGTAAAAGCCAGACCCATTCAATTTTTAAAATGAAATGGCATTTTCTCCAGTGTCGTATGTGATGTATTATATTTGGTTTGCTATCTGATTCCAAAGCTTTAAATGTATAAATACTAAGTGACACAGAGTTTCTTTCCTTCATGTCAGTTTTAAATTTTTAATGTTTGCACACTACTACCAGAAAGCAATATGTTACATGTAACTTTTTAAAGAAAAAATAGATTTTTGCATCCCTTGGCTTATTTATAGTGTATAACAGTATTATATACATGACTTAAATCTTTCTAAAATTTTTATGAAACGTTCCCTTAACTATGTTACATTAAAGCCTTCTAGAAGCCTTTCTGATATGTGAAGAAACTACAGCAATTCAGAAGTGTAAATTTTTGACTAATCTAGTCAAGGGGTGGGTTGAGTCAGTTTCGCAGCGGGTGTTACAACATTTTTTGTGTATATGTATTTATGGAGTGGCATTAAAGTTTAGTGTTTGGTGTTAGACAACAACAACAAAAATCTGCAAATAACAATTCACCCTCCCTACGTCAGCTAAGTTGTGAAAAATAATAAGATACATACCCCTCGCTAACTTTCTCAATAATATCAGGGAAGAGTAAAATTGAAAAACAGGGCAGAGTGAAACATTACTTTGTAAGGAACAAAGTGGGGGGAAAAGACGTGTATGGAATACGTACATTTTAAACAAGATGCAAATCAATTTAAGTTTGAATAGAACTTTTATAAATATTGTTTAAAAAAATTCTTCTATTTCAGGTTTTGGAGCTCGAAGGTGAAAAAGGAGAATGGGGATTCAAAGCTCTGAAACAGATGATTAAAATAAACTTTAAATTGGTAGGAATTACAGCTATCACTTGAGAGTAAATGGCATAAATATGTATTTGATCCAGAGATCTTAAGTTGTTATTCTAATTTATGGCTATGACAACTAAATCTGCCAGAACTTGTCTTTTGCCGTTTTTAATGGCTACTACAGACATGGCAGGGACATTATGTGGTGGTTGCAAGTCTAAGGCAAAACGGATGCAAAAGAGCTGCTATGGTCAGCTGGTACTCTCTGAAAGTTTGAGGCTCAGTCCTTGCTATGCTGAGGTATCGTACCATTGAAACCAGAAGTGTTGATATATGTGTGTACTTCACCAGAACAAATCAGTGAAAAATGTATATGCTACATATACAACCATTCCAAATTGTTGTATAGCCAACTCCGTTTTCTTCGTTGAGATAAATATTTTAAATGTCTATTCCCTGCAGTCTTGCTGAAATTATTCCTGATTCTGCTGCTTATTAATAGAGTGCTGATATAAAAGTTCCTAATAGCAACCACTACTGCATAGTCTTTCTCTTATGCTTTCTTTTCTGTACGTGTATTTGCAAGATATAACTCAGTTTTTAATCATTAAAACAAAAAATATAATGTAATTTTGTTTTTCTTTCAGACTAACTTTCCTGAAATGATGAACAGATATAAACAGCTATTGACCTACATCCGGAGTGCAGTTACAAGGAATTACTCTGAAAAATCCATTAATTCTATTCTTGATTATATCTCTACTTCCAAGCAGGTTAGATCATCAGTTCTTTCATCTTCATAGTTTTCCTTTTTGCATTTTTAACTATGGACTTTTTTGCGTATGGTAGTCTGTTGGTTTTGGGTATTTTGATCTTAACAGAGAACATTTGCAGTATTAATTTGTTGTCGTATATTAAAATATATTTCCCACATTTAATGGATTCTATCAACACACATAACTTCTCATAAATTTGTCCTTTTTTGGCAATATTTACCTGGGATTTCTATGCTAAAAGTAAAGTAAATACTTTTTTTTTTTTTAGCATAGTAGCTACACACTATAAGTGCCTTCTCCACTATAATTTGTAATTAAACATACTTTTTTTTTTTTTTACTTTGTGGGGAGTGGGGCATCTTTGAAAAACTCTGCAATGAAGTGTTGATGTTACATACTGCCTGTCTTTGAGTGTACTGTCCAAGCTAGATACGTGTTCATAGATACACAGCCCAGCTCCTTTTCTTTTGTGTCGTTGTAGAAGCTTTACAAAGAGTAGAAAGCTCCCCTAACTGACTACCTGGGAGTAGCACCTGCATATGGAGGATCACTGGTCTTTAGTGATGACTCCTCTGTCATTATCACAATCCTTCCTGTCCTGCCACTCATAGGAAATGAAAGTTCAATAGTTGAATGATGATTTACTCTTAAGGTCTAAAGGATTGTCTTAGACTATACCTTATTGGCAGGGGTCAGTGTGTTTGGTCTAAATGCAGTTAGAGCCAGACCTGAAGGGACAGTCTGGAACTCTTAACTTGATGTATAGCCACAGATAGGTTATCCCCAAAAGAACAATGGCCATAAACAGTACTAATACGTTCTTTGTAGAACCTTTGTTAAAGGTCACACTCAGCACTTTTGATTTCCATTTTGGATGTTGTATTTTTGGGTTTTATGCAAAGAAACGGTTAGATGTGCTCAAGAGCTTTCTTTCGTGCAGCATTGATAGTATAGAAAGGAGAAAGCATCTTTTCCTTTGACCATTTTGCTCTCTTTGTAAATCATATTTTCTTTTTGATACGTAAATTATTTTTGTTTTTCTTCTTTTAAGTAGGAGCAATGTTGCCTGTTAGTGTTTGTCTTTTCTTACACAACATAAGAATTTTATTACTTGGTTATATAAGATGGGCTTGTATAAGGTGGCTTTCATTTTTCACTAGCACGATAGATGGTTGTAAATCTTAAAATGTGAATACTTTTTAATTATATCTATTTCATATAAGAAAAGCAAGTTTACTTAGTTTTGTTACTGTAGAAGCTCTTTACAATTTAAAGGCAGACATTCAGTAAGATGCAGATACCTTTCTTATTTTGAAGTTCAAGCATGCACTTTTAGTTTGTTCAGATTGACTTTATTAACAGGTACAAATTTGCTGTTTACAATTATAGAATTCTGATTTTTTATGTCAGATGGATTTGCTTCAGGAATTCTATGAAACAACACTTGAAGCTCTGAAAGATGCTAAGAATGATAGATTGTGGTTTAAGACAAACACAAAGGTAAAATATATAACTTACTGGTTTTTGCTTTTGTTTGTGACACCTTCAGCTAACTCTTATAAACAATAATTGTGAAATCTTAATAGACCTTAGTACTTCAACTTTTTTTTTCATTACAGCTTGGCAAATTATATTTAGAACGAGAAGAATATGGAAAGTTACAAAAGATTTTGCGTCAGCTGCACCAGTCATGCCAGGTACCTTCATATTCTAAATCACTGTAGCTTAGTAAACAACATTGATTTTTTGGGGGTTTGTTTGTTTTTTTTTTAACATCTGTTGTTGGCCTTTGAGGCATGTTGCTGAGCTTCAGTACAGAGGGAAGAAATACTGTGCCTGCTTTAATTTGTTATCTGTTTGATAACTTGAACAAAAAAGGATAAGTGTTTTATTCCTTGCTTAAAGATGATTTTTAAAAAAATTATTCACAACTGCCGATTAAGTTTCCTTTTAGTCAGGTGCAACGATGAGAAGCACATAATAATCTGCAATGCATAGACATTTATTTTAAAATATAGTGAAGATTCCAAGGGAGTTGTACTCAAAACTGAAAGTACAGCTGCTACTTTTCCATTTGGAAGGGGAAAAAAAAAATAAGCCATGCAGCCTGCCGTGGTTGTTTGTGTCCCCTTTTCTTTCTCCAGCATGGAAAATGGGTTACAAATATCTGGGAAATGGTTCTGTTATAGGCAGCAGAAGAGTCCTATGTATTATCTACATATATGTGTATGTGTGTCAGTCATTGCATTTATGTACTGAGAGTGTGGTTTAAGGAAAGTGGAAAAGAATAAAGGGCAAAGTTCTGAAAGTTGTTAAAAGGAAAACAATTAAACAAAAATACCGACTTTTTAAATAAAGGCCTTCAAAACTTGGCCTGTGATAAGTCCTTTGAGTATTATGTTTTGTGTTAACAGTTGTATCAAAATTTTAAAGTTTTACGAATATCCTTATTTCTGACAGAAAATCACTGAGAGTAGTTGGTAATCAGTTTTTTACTAGTATAAACTGAAATCACTGTTCTCTTAAAATTTCACAGTATTTGTTACTTAATCTGTCCTAGACTGATGATGGGGAAGATGATCTAAAAAAAGGTACTCAACTATTGGAAATCTATGCTTTGGAAATTCAAATGTATACAGCACAGAAAAATAACAAAAAACTTAAAGCGCTATATGAACAGTCATTGCACATCAAGTCAGCCATTCCTCATCCACTGATCATGGGAGTTATCAGAGGCAAGTTAATCTTGAATTTTTCATTTAACTTCTGATGCAAAGATTAGTTTTATGAAAATCTGATAATTAATGTTTTTTCCAGTTCCAGCCAGAGGATCCTGTAGATTCAGAGGCAGACAAACCATATGTGAATAAAGGACTACAAATGCAGTGGCTACAGTCTCATCATTTAATGTTTGCCTCCTGTAGGACTTCAGCTCTGCTGTTCTGGTACCTAAGTACCAGATGCACTGGTCAGAAGGGCAGGACAGTTGCCTACGTATACTGTAGGAGAGAAGCAATAGAAGAACAAGAGGAAGACTTGATCTGTTTGACGCCATGGCAGGCAACAAAGGATAAATGCAAAGGCATTTGCAAAGGATAAAAACAAAGGCTTGGCAGGACTGCTAGCGGAAGGGACTGCTATTTCTGCAATCCTCTTTTGTAAATTTGTGCTTGATGTCTCACCTCACTAAAATTCATCAGGAACTGAAGGGCTTTAAGATGTGTTTGAAAATATTATTTATTATCCGTAATGATGAATTATAGTGGAAACACGCCACGTGTCTTGAAAAAAACTTTCTCCAGAATATTGTTGTGCCTCCCCTCTGGTGTAGGCATTTGCACAGACAATCAGGCAGCAGTGGGTACGTCAGAAATAAAGGGAGAAATAGAGTATTTCTTGATTTTTCTGTGTGGTTTTGCTCAACAGATTGGGAAAATTCCATAAATATAGGAAGTCCGTTGCCTTTGAAATGGAGATAAATTCCATTATAGCTTTTACAGCATTTTAACTTAAGGCTAAATAATTATTGGCTGTGAGGATTAGTGTTCTTTTAGATTTATGGTGTGGGTTGGGCTTTCTTTTTTCTTCTTTGGAATGGGTTTATTCAAATGGCAATGCTGTATGTGAAGGCCCTAATGCTTTTTTTTCCTAGCGATTTCCGAGAATGAAAAGACTCCTGAAAATATTTCAGTAATCTATGTAGAAATAGCGTGGAACTTCTGAGTACAATTATTGTAGTCAGCAACAAGCACGCAGTGTTCCTTTTCTCTTCATCTGTGTTTTCTTTTCAGAATGTGGAGGCAAAATGCACTTAAGAGAAGGAGAGTTTGAAAAGGCACATACTGATTTTTTTGAAGCATTCAAGAATTATGATGAATCAGGGAGCCCCAGAAGAACTACTTGCTTAAAATACTTGGTCTTAGCAAACATGCTCATGAAATCTGGAATAAATCCATTTGACTCTCAGGAGGTATTTTTTTTTCTTTTTTCTTTTTCCTTCCCTCCTCCCCCATTTCTGAATTGATAGGGAAATTACCCAAAAGATGAAAACGGAGAAAAAAATACTTAAAATGTAAACATGCATATTCTGTTTTCTGTTCTGTGTAGGCTAAACCATACAAAAATGATCCAGAGATTCTAGCAATGACGAATTTAGTAAGGTAAGATTTTAATTCTTCTGGAGAAGAGAAGAAAAAATAAAATGACGTCGTGTCCAAACCACAAATGGAATATTTTTAGAAGTGGCTTTTCTCTGCACAGCTAACACAGTTATTTCATAAATATTGGGAAAATATTTGTAGACTGTTTGTTTTTCTTAAGAAACTTTTATTTACTATGACATACCAAAGTATTTATACGTACGACATAGGGGTACAGAAACATGCTGTTGTCTTCTGCTATGGTGAATTTCTTATGCAGTGGCAAAAACCTCATTTCTTCCCTTAAATAAAGTTGTCCCACCTTGTACTGCAACTGGTCTTTAGCGTTTGGCTGATTATATATGAGAAACTGAGATGACTGACATCTCATACCAAAGCCAGTAGAATAATTGGATGTATGGATATGTCATGATTACTAAAGGAGTTTCATAATTTAGGAATATGAAACTGAACTCTCAAGTGATCTCCCCTGTCCTTCAAACATATATGAGAATCAAAAGAATGTTTCATTACCTCTGTGATGTGAGAACTTCTAGGGTATTATGATCATCAGGCAAAATAAATTGAACTGAGGCAGTTTTTGTGTACTGTGATGTGAAGCTAACCTGTTCCATCCACTCTATCCTGCCTTTGCTTTATCAAGTAAAAAAAAATGAACAATGCGTAGGAAAACTTTTCCCACTTTTTTCATGACATAAGAAGTAATGCCTGCTCACATTTCAAAATACACAGTTGATCTCATGTTAGAACAAACCTTGCTCTGATACTGCTATGGTGCTGCACCCTTGTATGCATACAAATTGTTTCTGAAAGTGAGGATGTTCATCCATTATTGACATAATGATGAATAAATGATTTGGCAGTTTATTAAGGGACTATTTCCAATAATTCCACTTTGGACATGTCTTTTCTACTTCACTCTCATAGTTTCATGTGAATTTGAGGCAGAAGGAACTCCAGATGGCCTTACCCAATCTGATTTTATTCATATTCCTAATTTATATCCCTAATTTATGTCTTTTATCTTGACATTTGAGTATAACTGCTTCTTTAAAATTAATAATGCAATTAAAGCAGTGTAGATAAGAAATGTGCAGAAGATAAAATCAATTCCAAAGATTACAGTCATGTGTTTAATTCTTCCTATACTCTACATTAGGAACTTGAATGTTTTACATACAGTAAAAAGAGACTTCTGGAATAAACAATAAAATATACTTAACTGAAATTCCTTTTAATTATGAAGTAAAATGTACTGGTTTCGTGTGATGTAGTCACATATAAAGTTCAAGTAATGATACTTTTCAAAATAGGCTATTTTTAGGGTCTAGGCTTTTTTAAAGAATTAACTTCTTACAGTACAGAAGTTTTGAAACTAGAGTGCACTTGCGGAATAACTAAATGTTCATACTAAACTTTTGTAAATGCTACTAAAATTGACATAGGAGAAAGGTAATTTCTGTTGCATCTCACCTTGAAACAGTTTTTCCTTATAAAGGTTCTGAACAGAATTATTTGCCACCAACACTTAATACAGTTTTTTTTTTAGATGATGTAGAACAAAGTCTTATGAGTCTGTTTAACTTTTAAAAATAATAATTCAGTCTCGTGTTTTTTCTGAAGTGCCTATCAGAATAACGACATCACTGAATTTGAGAAAATTCTGAAAACAAATCACAGCAACATCATGGACGATCCCTTCATAAGGGAGCACATTGAAGGTATTTTTGCAGGCTATCTTAATCCATTTTGTTTCACTACTTGGTAAGCTCCTTCTCCCCCTCTCCCCGGTTTATTTTTCTTCTTGGCAGAATGAGAGTTCTTTTGTCGTTACTTGTGGACGATTCCCTTACTGTTTCCAAGTTCTTTAGAAGTTGGTCATGGCCAACATGCACCCAGGCTTGTAGAATGACTGCAAAGAATTGCAGGAATGGTGAAGAAAGTTCCAGCAAGAGTGGATAGTCTATATCTACAGTGGTGTTAAGCACTGAATATTTTTTCCATTGGAAGGATTAAATGAGGGCAACCCTTCCTTGTAAAGGTTGTTTGTGTCAGTCTCAACAGTTAGATGTTTGCTGAGTTTATAAGGTTAATTTTGTGCTTCAGATTAAAGACAAAATATGTAGACAATGTAATGAAGGTTGCGTTAATAAATGTGTAGTAGTAAAATATGTAACCAAATACATAATTCTAATGTATATGTTGAAAACAATGTTTGGATTTATAGTACCTATACTTAATAAAACAGGGGAGCACACTAACGCGTGCCCATCTGTCCCATTAACATGACAAAATAAAGTTACCCTCTGCATTTGTCATGTATCTGAGAATTTAAAACTCTCTTCACTCGAATATAGCGTCCAGTTTTTCAGATAAGTACCGTTTTCATCAAGAGTAGGGCTTACTGTGGCATTGCAAGATCATTTAGCTGGATAGTTGCATGAAAGAAAAGAGTTAAATCCAGAGACCTGGTTTTCTTACACTTCTTGTTTGTAAAAGAGAACATGGCAAACAGCAAGGGAAACTAAATATAACCCCTCTACTGCTGTTACATGTCGACTACTGGTAAGCTTCAAAGTCTTGTAGTCTCTAAGATTAGAGAGATGGGTGCTTAAGGAAGAAAGTATGACAGAACTGGAAAGCAGGAGGAGGACAGTTGAATCAAAGGATTGAAGAGAATTTGAGTTTCACCCCTTATATGATAAGAGTCTGCTAGTGATATCCAGGGGAAAAGAAGACATTCTCATCTTTTTCACTCTGTAGTGATACAGAATGTGTGTGTGTCGTTATAATGTTTACATACCTTGCCTCATTGTTCTAATCTCCTTAGTTTTATTGAGATACATAATCTGGTCTTCAGTATTGTTTTTCATTATATAAACAGTCCTTGTGTAACTAGTTAGGTAAAAATGGATCTAGCTCTTTTTCTGTTAATTTACAATTGTAATTTATGCTTTCATTTTATCCAAATTTTCTTTAGTAATGTAAAAATTTCTAAAACAATGGCTGCACTATCTTATCTAAGAAAAATCAGCCACTTCATGCAGACTTTGTTTTATACTTCTTCTTCAGTTCCTCATCATAATTACACCATTAGGCCCTGATCTTTTAACTTAAAATGGGAATATTCCTCATGAAGTTAAATGCACGCAGACTTAAGTTTCAGAGCCTTAAGAATAACTCTTTCACTTTTGTACAAGGCAAGCATTCTAGCCATAAATTAGGGGGGCAGACATCCCGTGCAATAATCTGTATGATTTATCCAGTTAGTTTGAATAATTTAATTTTTTACCAGGCAATACGTTGCTCCATGTCCATCTTCAGAGTTACATATTGCTTGGGTCCCTGGAAAAAGACAGTCCCTTTATTTTCTTGTGCTTCCTCACCTCACTGAGCTACTACCTGAAAAGATCATGGAATTTAGGATATCTTCCTATATGAAGCTGTACTGCATCTTTATTTCAGTACAGTTGTTTTTACAGTATTTATTTTTTCTTCTCTTACAGAGCTTTTGCGAAACATCAGAACACAAGTGCTTATAAAATTAATTAAGCCTTACACAAGAATACATATTCCTTTTATTTCTAAGGTATGTGTCAGTGGAGCCTTGCATTTGCTTAAGTAAATGATTAATTGTCAATAAAAGCTCTTAAATAAATACAGTGCTTCCAGAAATAGAACATTTAAAATATAATCTAAACCATAAAGTAGTACTGATGCACTGCTGGCAGCTTTGCAGTGCGAAAATGTAAATTTCAAGTGTCGTCCAAATGCTTTTTATAATATGTACTACGATATACTTCTAACATATTCAATTGCCATATTCTACGTGGTGTAGAAAAGCACTTTTCTGAAGAGAAACAGAAAAAGTGAAATTTGTATAATTCAAAATATAATTATGAATGTAACTCTTACGAACATAAAAATCCAAATGTTAATTCCTTTTGTTCAAAAGGTATCTTCCAATGTCTGTGTTGTAAGAGTTACAGAACTGTGGTAATAGAACGAACCAACTATAATACTAGAATCACTGATTTCATTCCCTAATTTGGAAAGAACAAAATGAAAACCCAAGGACAGTAGATGACTATTTCCATCTCCTGTGAGTCTGTGATTTTTCTTGCAAAAATTCACAGCATTCCAAAATATGTCATGAAGTATTAGAGATGCCTACTTTCTATGCTTAAATTCTCTTTAGAACTCTGTATGCTTTTTTTTTTAAGCTAGCCTTAACATTTGTAGAACTTGCTTGAGCAAGATGCAACTAGCCCTCTAAATGGTTTTGAGTACAGACCCATTTTTTTCTGATAATTATTGTCTTATTTTATTTCCTGGGGTTTTCTGTGGCTTGGGATTTTTTTTCCCCAGTAAGTCAGCAAAGTAACTCATTTCTGGAGCTTCCAAAAATTTTGCTTTAGCCCCTTCAGCCTTTTCCGAGAGGTTACCGATCTCTTGATCATTGGCCATATATACTTTAGGTGGAGTTCTTTTGCGTGATAGATCATTATTGAATTGATACTTTTTAACGGTAAGAAACAGAAATGAAACCAAATTCTGTATATGAAAATAAAGATTGGAAGGATTTAATGTTGCAAAACAGAGGAGCAGCATAATGAGTTTTCTTTTTCTTGTAGGAGTTAAACATAGATGTAGCTGATGTGGAAAGCTTGCTTGTGCAGTGCATATTGGATAAGTATGTACTTTATTCTTGATTATTGATCTTTAATTACTTTAAATAATCAAAGCATACAAGAAGCAACAAAACAATATATTTGCGCATTGTGACAATACCGGTTGATTCTAGAACTGAAAGGTAATGATGTTGACTTTGTTTGGATTTGCTTGGCTTATGAGCAGTAAAGTATATTTGTAAGATGTGAGCAAAGAAAATTATAGAGAGAGATTGAGTGGCATGTTTTTACTTTAATTTTGAATTACGTAATAAATTACTTGAATTATTATTATGAAAATTATTATTCGTAGTAATTGCTGCTTATACCCATGTATATTTTTGAGTACATTTTCAAGTTGACAAGTTAGTAACCTGCTCTCCTTGACTGGAAAAACTTAACTACAATTTGTAAAATTTTTTTTGGAGGGTAACTTGTTATGTCTACTAGGAAGATAGAATCCATACATGGATTTATATTTTAATTTCTTTTTACATAAATCTCCATATTTCATGATTCCTTGCCTTTCAGGAACTGTTTACCTCATATTGCTTCAGAGTTTATATGTGGGTCATAGCTAGGGAGATAATACATGCATTGCCCAATGAATTAGTTCACTTGATTTCCAATCATGGTGACCACTAAATAGGCAGTACTACCCAGGACAATATATTATAAAAGTGCTGAATTCTGAAATGGTCTTGGTGTCTCTCTTGTATAAGATGACCTCTTATTTTTCCTCTGATTTATTGTTAGCTCGTATTTCCATGTGCATTAGTGATTTATAGTTATTTATTTATTTACTTCTAGCACTATACATGGCCGAATTGATCAAGTCAACCAGCTCCTAGAACTGGATCATCAGAAGAGAGGTGGTGCACGGTATACTGCGTTAGATAAATGGACCAACCAACTAAATTCTCTCAACCAGGCTGTAGTCAGCAAGCTGGCCTAACAGAAAACAAGCTTTTACAAACGTACTTAAGGCGACAGTGCAGTGATGTAAACCTTAAAAGAACTGGGAATGGCAAAACTACTGTCGGTTGGTGTGCCCTGAAATTATTGGAGTTATGGCAGAAGTGCTTTTTTGATCAGCTGGTTTGTGTTTTGCTGCTGCATTTATCCCAAGAAAAAAACAGCTTTAATCTCCAGAAGAAAACCAAAATGCCACGGGATTTATGCTGTATTGACATCTTGCCCTAAACATACAACATCCTAGTAATTTGTCAAAGGGCAATTAATGACCAGAGAGAAGATTTTTGTCGTGATTTTAAATACACTGACACGTTACTGTTGGTTAAATTTAAACATGTTTTACGTGCAGAAATTCTCTCACAAAAATAACCTGCAATAACTTGAAATGCATACCCTTTTGAACACTTCCTTTTCTCATGTATAAATGGAAATGTTTGCTGCATTTTGCAAAATGTCAATTCTCCAAAAATGTGTCCGTATATTTCTGTACCTGCAGTGTAGTAAAGGTTTAGAAGAAACCCCATAATTATAGTGGCATACTGTCACTTAGGTTTCAAGCAGCAAAATAAACAGTGCAGTTCAGAAATTGTACAGTTTGTTTCTTGATGTGCTTTCATTACACTTGATTTTTACTTTTGCTATTTTTAAAAGAAAATAGGTATTACTTCATCCTCACCTCACTTATGAAGGACAATATGGAAATGTTAAGTCTAAACCTTGGTATGTGTGCTGTTGATTTTTCTTTTTTCTCCCCCTCCCCCCCCCCCCCCCAGAATAAGCAGGAAAATTTGGGGGAGTGGGGTGGGGGAGGATCTATTTTCTCTAATCTTACTAATACAGTATCCTTGTTTCTGTTCCTCATCAGTAACGAGTAAGCAGGGAAGAAATCCAAACCCCTACCTCTCACTTAGAACAAAGATGCGCTTTCATTCTACCATTGCACAGAAGGACTACAACAAACATAGTTTTTAAGTAAAAAGGTAGCAGTATAACCAAAAATTCTTAAAAAGCATAAATGTCAGTCACAAAGAGGACATTTCATTTCTTTCTTTGTGGTAAGTTGGAGTTTTTTTTTTTTTTTTCCCCCCCCCCCCCCCCCCCCCCCGACATAGTTAAACGTAAATACTAAAGAGTTTAACAGCTGATATTTAGCAGTCTTGCTAACTGACTTTTATCTTGCAAGATACCAAACTGTTATCAGTACAGTCTAGTTGATGTTGGTGGGTATTTGGCATTTCTCAGGAATATGCTCGTTTTTTATTTTGATACTTCAAGAATACAGGTTTGCCAAGCAGCACCCTGGGAACAGAAATGCAGACCCTGATTGTTATCTCCCTGCCTAATCTGTGGTCTTTTTGACCAAATTCAGTGTATATAAAAAGACACTGTATGTACAGAGTAGGGACCAAGTACAGTGACCTCAGTAATAATGGAATCGGTTCTGTCCCAAATGCTTGATTGTATTGTAGTCCCTTCAGAGCTGCTATTCAAGTCCTGAAGTCCTACCACATAGTTGGCACATGCTTTTCATGTCTTAAGATTTTGGGATCATCACATCCATTTAAAATACAAAGCTGCAGTGTTGACCAGCAACTTTTCTTCCTGTAGCAGCTTGTCTGGAGCTGACAGAAAAATTCTCTTGCAGGTCTCAGAAATGTAGAAGAAATTTTGTAAGGCCACTTCTTCCATAACTGCAAGTACTCCATTTTAAACCTGAGAGTATGGTGTAATGGTGCACAAAGCAGTGCCACACACAGTCATTGTTACAGTAGAAAGATAAATATGTACGTAGAGCAATTAACACCGCCCCAAAAATAATGAAAAAGCCTAATAAATGACACATGTCCATCACATACATGCAAGACAGCGTGGTAAACAATGTTCTAGGACAGGATTTAAATTGGTAACAGTGTATAATTAAGTAGGATAAAATTAACTTTCATCTGAAGGATAGTTATATCCCCTAGAAAATTGTTTGGCTCTGCAGTTGTCAAAGCAAGTGACTTTTTTCCCTAGTGTTTACACAGTAAAACAATGTGTTGCGTGAGTAGCATGATGCTGAATCTTGGGTGGGCATTTCTCCTTCACTGATGCAGATTTGTACCAATAGGTGTTTCTAATTTATCCACTTACTTAAAATAATAGTAATATATGAATATAAATTGAACTTAGTTTTTAAGCAAAGGTTTTTCCTTCATAAGACCTGTAGATAACATTTACTAACGCACATTGTTCGTATTTTGTTTCCTTACAGTGCTGTGATGTATAACATACTTACTTTGAAAATTCCAGTAAGATCTGGCGTTGTGAAACTGAACTTAATAGTACTGCACAGTAATTGGGACCCTCATCTATAGAGGTGCAGAAACTTTAATTTGGATAGCCGGTCTTGCAAGGGTCTTCTTCCCATGGGGACAGAGGACTGTGACAGCTATTTCAGCATGTTTCCTTTCTCTGCCATTTTCTGCCACCCTTGCTGTGGGAAGGAACAACTACTCTCTTCCAAAGGAGGCAAAAAAGAACTGTGCATAAACTTAATATCGCTTCAAAAAAAAAAAAGTCTTCTTGACTTTGTCTGTTGTAATTGATGTAATCTTTCCCATCCCAACTATGTCTTTTGGTGAGGCATGTTTGGATTTTTCAGGAAGGAAATGGGAATGCTGCAGTAAATCTTGTCCTTTCCAGCTAGTCCCCTAGTTTTATCTTTTTGTTGTGAAGGACTAATTGTAGTAGGACTAGCCCAACTAGTGAAGGACTTAGTTTCAACAGTGAGGGCTAGCAATGTGCTTTTAGACAGAAAAAGTGTCAGTCTACCTCTAATAAATTCTTGTGTGTTTTGGCATACTTTAGTTCTTACTCATGCATGCAGTGCCTTAGCGTCTGTGCTCTAGGCACATAATGAAGATTTATATAATCCCTAAGGGATTCTACCCCTTTTCCGAGTTCTCATAATTCTTAACCTGGAAGATGAGAATTATCTGCAGGGAAATACGGAGGAGCTGTGTTGTCATACAACTGCAGCAGAAATTGCTGATAGTTGCTATAGCCCACTTAGTTCCTGGTAGGTCTGGCTCCAGTGTCATTTCTACCTCCTCAGGAAAAGCGAACAAGCAGTTGAAGGAAGAGGGTGAACAAATTTTTTTTCAAATAACATTATTGTGCTGCAGGTTGTTCAAGAAGTCCTAAGCAGCTGCACTGCATTCTCCAGTCTAGGTTCCGATCATTAAATTTCTGCAATTGTCATTAAGTGTCAGAACAATGCTTTTCACAACTTTTTGGATGTTTTTATCCACCTTTTGTTGCTGTTGGTAGAAGACAAACGGGCACCTTAGCTAGTACCTATAACACTGTTTGCAAAAGACCATTTTAATGGCTGTTGTAATCTTATGTAAGATTACAACAGTGCAGTGGTTAAGCTGTGTATATATAAACCCTCTTTTAAGTTGCTGGCAGCTTATGCATTAAAAGTGAACATCATGCAAATGAAATCTGGGAGGATGTGGGTGCTGTGTCTGCATGAATTTTAGATTTTATTATTATTATAAAACATACTTTGGAGGAATGCATTCTTCTCTCATCTCAAAGCCCTTCTCTGATGGATTGGATCTGAAACCATGCTGTAGTGAGGATTTCATTTTCCTTTCATTTTAAATAGGCTTAGAAATACATTGGACAAAAAAAAAAAGAAAACAGAAAAAAGGCAAGGCAACTGAAATGCACCTGGCAGAATAATACAACAAAGGTTATTTGAATTGTAGTCTGTGAATAAACACTGTGATTTTTGTAATTACTCAGAAGTTGTCAGCTGTAAAAGATTATGTCTCTGTTTGAAGATTGTATTTTCACATTTACTTTCTTTTTGAGAGGTGGTGAATTAATTTACTTGAGCAGGAACTATGTATGTATGGATTAAGAGTAAAATGACATCGCTCTGGACAGCACCCCTTGCCTTCTTGAAAATACAGCAGTTATTTGAACTAGATTTCCATATAGAGATATTAATACTGACTTCAAAAATAAAAGTTTAGCTGTTACTTTATTGTTATTTTCAAAGTGCTAAAAATATGTCTGAGAACCAGATTAGAGAACTGGGTGAAACCCTACATTACAGCTAGTCATAGTTGTGTTAATTAAGATATTGACAGAAAGGATTATCGCTGCCTTAAGTGCTTCTAAATCTGTGGAAAGGTAGATTGCAAACTGCATCTGCATTATAATAACTGCATATTTAGCGCTAAATTTTGGATGTAATAACTGTAAGCATTACAGCAAGAGTGAATCCCTTCCTGGCCATATGACAAAGAGTTGCAAGGCAGGATCTGTCCTGGTTGGCTCTGCTGCCTCTTTGCAGCTCCTCTCAGGGGGAGTGCTGGGCTCGCTCTGGCTGCTGCCAGGTAGGAATCGCATGTTGCTATCGGAATCGTGATTCTCAGATTCGTGGACTAGTTCCCAGCTCACCTTCCCACTTTGGCTGCAGTATGTTCCCTGTTGCGTCTGCCCTTAGCTGTCTGTGCAGGATGCTCTATGTCGCACCTCCCCACATCAGATACAAATGTTTATTTGCCATGATATACTTTGCTTTCTGTACTTGTCGTTCTCTATGACTATGCTAAGATTTTAGTTCTGGTCCAGTAAAACTGTCATTTTGGAGTCAGCTTCCTTCCTGCTGCCTCTTCCACTTGCTCACTGTGGCAGCCTCCAAACCCGCGAGTGTTGTCGTGGCCCCCGTTCAGGCGGCGCTGCCATGGAGCTCAGTCTCAGCCTGCTTAGACCTCGGGGGTGGAGCAGGGTGTTACTGAGCAACCCTTATTTCATACTTCCATGCCAGTGCAATTCAGCTTATACATATGTGCAGCTTGCGATACAAGAAGCTGCCTTGATTTCAGTGAGACGTGCTTAACCGCGTCCTTACATGTTTTGTAGGACTTTTTACCCACTAGGTGTAAATAGAGCCTATGTAAGTAAGAGAGTGTGAGTAGCCACATGCATGCTGTTAGATTTGCTTGTAATCCCGTGATTTTAATTCTGAATACAGTCATTACCAAGTGCCTTTCCATACTACTGAGATATTTTAGTTTAGACTCCAGTTTTTATTTTTGTGTCGACCTAGATTTTCTTCTTCATTTGGTCGGTGTCCTCCATTGTATTTGGGCAGGACTATGCAGCAGATGTAGCAATAACCCAAACAACCTATTAGCAAAATTGCAGTCAGCACCCGCTAGATTCAAGCATCATTTTTTGCTTCTAAACTATTCACTTATTTACTCCATGTTGCAATAAAAAAGTAGCAATAATTGTTTACAAACTGCCAGATTTGAGAACTGGACCCTTAGGACTGAATATTCAAAGCCAGCTACTGCAATTACCAGTGTGTTTAAATTGAACAGGGTTTTAAATTTTTTTTTTATAGCTTCCTTAAGGACTGTAACACTGTTGAGTTCTCTTACACAACACTTGATCGAGATGACGACGATGTAACCAGATACCCTGGCATAGTTGTGATAGCTGTGGACAGAGGATCTAACATAACTGGTTCCGAGTGCTTTGGTATGTTTTTGGTGATAATACAGAGTTAAATTCTATGGAAGACTCGAGTTCTTTTCACCCGAGTGGCCACTCAGGTCACCCAGCATGACTTTCTGTATTATGTATACTGTACAGATTTATGTAGATCTGATGTCTATTTAATCACTGCCCAATTTAGATCTT